CCGAGCGGTTAAGGCGACAGACTAGAAATCTGTTACTCTCTGAGTGCGCAGGTTCAAGTCCTGCCGTTGTCGCTTTTTCGTTTGGGACTCAGTCCCTAGGTAACGGTGTTTCAGATGGTGGGACGTAAGTTTTCTAACGACATCGTCTTAATATTTACGTGCGCTGGTAAACACACGTCCATTATCGATTCTCATCACAAAATATGCAGTTATGCTGTGAGTTGCGGTGGAGCTGCCACTGATCCTACCTCAATTTTTGGTTAATGGAAAGGTTTCCATAGAGTTTGTAGCACAGTCATTCTGAAATCACTCTGCGTATTTCTCTTGCCCAGATTATGGAGTAGTTGGAAAAAGAATCCTTATCTTGTTTTGGTTTGCGAGAGCTGCCACCTGGTACAACAGGAGACACATAAATATGATAGCTAAGAAAGAAGTTCTCCGAGACACAACCTTGCTGACTTCCGTTGATTTTTCGTTGAAATGAATCTCGCCCATTACCCCGCTCAGCAACAATACCCCCAAATCCAGCCAAAGGCAAGAGCATCCTGTCTCCGCTGCCGCAACCACAAAAAAAAATGTACACCTCGAGTCTCAGGAGCCTGCGAAAGATGCTACAGTATCGGTGTAGACTCCGAATGCTCACATTCACACGAACTGATAACCCCAACAACCCCCTCCTTCCCACTCCCACCAGCCCCGCTCCTCCTCAACACAACAACAACAATAACCGCCCCAGACCAAAACAAAAGCCCGAATACTCCAACATTAGCCGACGCAGGACTAAATTGGTTTGATCGGCAGTCTGGCTCAACAACCCCGCCTCCGTCACAACCCGTCCTCACACAGATCATGAATGCATTCGAGACGCCGTTGATCCAGGGCGATGAACTTGCGATGGAGGATCCGGACTTGATGCCCACGAGGGAAGACTGGGATTTGGTGTATCGGTACTGCACGAAGAATGGGACTTGTCGGCCGTTGATGGTTGCTATGGATGGGGAGTATCATGTGTCGCATTATTTTGGGCAGAGTGCTGTGTTGCGGTGAGTTTTAGGTTTGTTTGTCATGACTAATAGTAAAGGGTCTTGGCAAAAAAAACAGGTTAATATCGGCAGCGGTTTCGGCACTGAGAGTTACTCCACCTGTTCCGGAAAAGGTTGCTTTGTCGTATTATAAACGCGCGAGGAAGGCTGTTATCAAGGCTTCCATGCAGAAACCGCATTTAGAGACCGTACAAGCTTACAACTATTTATACATATTTTGTTTATGGAAGGGACAACCTGTTGTCGGACAGCGGTTTTTGAAACAAGCATTGGATATGATTGTGGAGCTGAAACTCAATGTCGATCCTGACTATTCTCCTTGGCTGCAACATTTAGGGCTATCAGAGAGGCAGAAGGAGGATCGACGGCGATCTTTTTGGTTTAGCTACAGGTTACTAAAGTGGGAGCAAGCGGTTTCATCGGACGCGATTCAAATGGATTTGAGAGCGGATCGGATAAAGCCGCCCAGTCAAGTCAATGACCCAAACCCAATATTTGCATCCAACGATTCCGCAGTCATAGCCAGTGAGCTCTTTTCTCTCATCTGGGAAATCAAGAAACACCACGCCCAGCCTCCTCGCACTCCACAATGCATTCTCACCTCCGAATCAGGCGCAAACCTAACCAATTTACTTTTGTCCATCCACTCCAAACTCCCCACCGACTTGCTCCTCGTCTCTACAACCCCAGAAACCCTATCCCCTACAGACTACACAAAATTCCTAAACCAACTCTCCCACATCCCCTTCCAAGAAATCGAACGCACACTCAACCTAAACCTCAACGCCCTCGCCACAATCAGTCTCCTACACCGCCCGAAACTCTTTCTCTCCGCCTTACCGAAATGCGTGCCC